ACTAATTTGTTTTCAATTTCATTGGTTTCTACTCTAATTGTTATGTTTTTTTAACATATATTTTTTATTGGAAAGTCAGCTATACAGAGAGGATGAGAGACAGAGGAATCCGATGATTCACTCCCCAGGCAGCCACAATGGCTGGAGCTCAGCTGGTCCAAAGCCAGGAGCTTCATCCAGGTCTCCCACACGGGTGCACGATCCCAAGGATTTAGGCCGTCCTCAACTGCTTTCCCAGGCCACAGGCAGTGAGCTGGATGGGAAGTGGAGCCGCCAGGATTAGAACCAGTGCCCACATGGGATCCGAGCACGCTCAAAGTGAGGGCTCTAGCTGCTAAGCTACTGCACCAGGCCCCCAAATTGTTTACTATTTCTTTGCTTTTACTTACCTCAGACTTAATTTGCTCTTCTTTTCCCAACACTCAAGCTTAGAATATTTCTAGCTCTCCTAATCGCCTATCTAATGCTGCAAGTTTCTCAGAGCACTGCCCTCCCAGCATTTCACACAGCTGAGTGCTTGTATTTTCATTAAGTTCTAAATACTTGAAATGTTCCCTTCAGACTCCTCTGATCCACGCATTAATAATATGTTGATTATCCTCCAAGTATTCGGGAGGATCTTCCAGACATTTTTCTGTTCCTAATTTCTATTTCAATGTCATTATAGTCTGAGAGCAGATACAGTACACTTGCTATTCTTTCAGACGTTACAGTGTTTCATAGTTCAGAACAGATGTATCACACACGCACTGAACAAAGTATCCCTTGTTGTCCAGAAGCAGAGAGACACAGTCACTGGGGCTGGCACCGAGTCCAACTACATCCTCCCTGCTGTCATTGCTGTTCCTTTCTGACGCAGAGGTGACAGGGTCTCCACTTAATAAGAATCCACTTGTCCTTACAGTTCTCACATGTCTGTCTCTTTAGGCACACACGCACCTCAAGGACTGCGACCCTGCCCTGAGCTGCAGATCCTTCTACGAGCCCTTGATGGCCGATAACCTTCCCTGAAGTCAGCTGACAGCGAAGTGACCCTTCGCAGTCTGTCCTCACTTTGAACCTGTGTTGTGAGTTGAGCTTTGTGACTGGAGTCACTCTGACAGTGTCATTCAGTGTGCACCCAAGTGTTCGGACCATGGGCACGAGACGCTGTTGGATTAAATCACAGTTCTGCATTGTTTACCTACTTACCACCCTCCTTTTCTTTGTATTTCTCTTCCATACTTTTCTTGCCTTTGAAATTTCAGTTGAGCAATATGTATGATTCCATTTACTTCCTTTCCTAGTGCATAAGTCAGACTTAGATTTTCAGCCTTTACTGCTTACAACCCAGTGTACAACTAATCCAGGTCCACTTTTAAATAACGCTATCTCTAGCCCTTGTCCAGGGCACCAAAGTGCTCCCGAAGCTGTTTCTCATTTCTACCGTATTTCTTGTTATCTGTAGCATTTCATTATGTTTGTTTACATGATAAACAAATTAATCAGTTTTTAATCCCTGGTCTGATAAATCTAACCCTAATACTCCTACCATATCTAACTGGTTCTGATGTTTGTTCAGTTTCTTCAAATTTGATTTTTTGCTCCATATTTATGTCTCATAATTTTTTCTCTCAAAAGGCAATGCTCCTTCAGTTCTTGACACCGTGTTCAGATGCAGGGGTGGGGTCTCAGTTTCTCCCAGGTCTGTGCCTGGAGTGTGAACGCCACACCTTGAGGTGCGACGCAGCAGCTCTCGGGCAGCTCAGGGAAACTGCGCAAACCGCGCAGGTTAGGTGCCAACAAGAGAGTGACTCCAGAGGGAGACCCTGGCAACAAACACAGTGCTCCGCCTTCCTGCAGGATTATTCCCGTGCCCTTCCCCTGCCACAGGAAGGAGGCATTCTTTGAGAATCACTTAGCGGTCGTGGTAGAATCCTTGGAAGTCAAACTCACACAGCTGTAGACCATCAGACAGCCCCCGGAGCTTACAGCTCAGTGCTGTCCACACTGGGCAACGTGTCACCTCAGGCTTTCCTGCCGATCCCCAGCGAGCTCCCTGCGTGGGTTCTGTTCACAGGCCCACGCCCCAGCGAGCTCCCTGCAAGGGTTCTGCTCGCAGGCGCAGATGCTCTACACACACGCCCTTCTGTATGCAGCGGTTGCCCCAGGAACTTAATTCTGTGAAAGGTCAGCACTGTTGATTTTTCAGTTGGTTCAACTTTTACGTTGTAGTCAGGACACAATGGCAACCTCTAAGCTCCTTACATGCAGAAAAAACTTTTGGCTCTTTATTCTTTTAATTGTTTTAAATTATATTCAGACGGTATTCAACTTACCCCGGCTGACAATGGTGCAGGAGTGGTACACATCAACAGAAACCATACTTCAGGTTTGGATTCTGGTCTCTTCCAGCTTCCAAAGTGATGCACCCTCCTGATGACAACAGCAGCAAGCCCAGATCCAGGGAACAACCAACACTCCCTGTTCAGTGGCACAATGTGTTCAACACGCTTTCAACTTGTGATGGAATTATCAGGATGTAGCCCACTGTAACTTGAGGAGCACATATAACTGTAAAATTAAACTATCCTTTTGTGTGTGTGGTTTAAAGATGTATTCACAGACCCAGTGTGATGGCTCAGTGTCTAAACCTCACCTTGTATTTGCTGGGACCTATATGGGCACAGGTTTGTGTTATGGCAGCCCCACTTCCCATCCAGCTCCCCGCTTGTGGCCTGGGAAAGCTGTCAAGGATGGCCCAAAGCCTTGGGACCCTGTGTCTGCATGGGAACCTGGAAGAGGCTCTGGGCTCTGGATCAGCTCAGCTCTGGCCATTGCAGCCACATGGGGAGAGAACCAGTGGGCAGAAGATCTTTCTTTGTCTCTTTCCTTCTCTGTAAATCTGCCTTTCCAATGAAAATAAATCGTAAAACACACACACATGCTGGGGTCCGCGCGGTAGGTGTGGATGGCACGAAGGTGTGAAGAGAATAGCTCCCCTGCTTGGCAGGGCCCAGGGGAGCTTCCAGCTGTTTGGCAGGGCCCGGTATATTTCTCTCTGACCACACTGACGCTGTTTCACCCCCTGGCTGCATGGACACGCAAGCACCCCACTAAGAATTCTGTAATCTATTGAGGCATTGTTTGCCACTGATGTGAGCTTGAAAGTTAATGTCACTGATAATGTCTTGGTGAGTGGGCCTTTGACAATTTACACACAGGAGCACAATTAAGCCCATGTCATTTTTGGACACCTTATTGTGTGCTAACTATTGCCTCAGAACCTGGCCCAGACATACAGCACACCCTCTGGGAAGGGGCTTGATATATGTCTTAAATATTAATGCAAGTGATGGGAGTAAGAGCTGAAACTGCTATGGCAATAAATATAGTTATTGTTATCTCAAAGGTTAGTTTGTCTTTGCAATTTTTTGGAGCCTAGAGAATGTAATTGTTTTAGCTGCTTTTATAATTTTTAGCTAGAGGAATTAACGATGTTTTATTAACAAAAAATGCTTTTGATTATTGCTTTATTGTTTATGGGGTTGTAGGAGTCTATAGTTGTAGGGAGATTTCACATTTGAAGTTTCTGTTTTAGATTTTAGGTTTTTTCCCTTGTAACTTATTTGCCCATTAAATGATGGGTAAATTGTAGAAATAGAAATGTGGTGGGCAGGTACTACTGATTAGCAGGTAATCGCATGTGCCTTGGCCTTGGAGTCCTGGCTGTCGCTCCATGGCTGCTGTTGTAGAATAAACAATAGCTTGCTTTGAAGAATATGAATACAGTATTTTGCAAAATTATCTTTAGGGGCACCTGCTTAGCCTTGAAGTGCAGACAGAGTGACCAAATATCTGTACATGCCCCTTAATTTTGAAAAGAAAAAATAAAATAGTTGCTTGTGCAGAAGCTTGTGAGGTGTTTCAAATAAATAAAAAGGACAGTTTTTTCTTGAGCTGTTGTGAGAACGCACCAAGTGTCTGTGTCTGTGTCTTTCTTCATCGCCGACTCCACGCACCCTTCCCGAGCTCCGAACTCAGCTGGAGCTGGACTCCGGCGCACACACACACACACACACACACACACACACACACACACACACTCTTGGAGTATACACAAAATTGGAGGGTAGAACACCCTCAGCCAACCATGTGGTAACTTACTGCAGAAGTTAGATGATACACAGATGACGTGAAAAGTTAGGGTACCTACTGCTGCTGGCTCCAGCAGTTGGCAGTCAAATGAAGGCATGCCCTGAAATGGAACCCTACAAGGCTGAGACAGGAGGAAAGAAGAGCTGGAGAACAAGGCCAGAGAGCAGCTGCTGTCAAAAGGCACGAGTGTTGGGCCCGGCGTGGTAACCTAGTGGCTGAAGTCCTTGCATTGCATGCACCAGGATCACATATAACCAGGGTGCCAGTTCTAATCCCACAGCCCCTCTTCCCATCCAGCTTCCTATTTGTGGCCTGACAAAGCAGTGCAGGATGATCCAAAGCCTTGGGACTCTGCACCCATGTGGGACCAGGAAGAAGCTCCTGGCTCCCATCTGACCCAGACCCAGCTATTTCAACCATTTGGGGAGTAGGGGTTGTGGGAAAAAACCTGTCTCCCCCTTTGTAACTCTGCTTTCCAAATAAAAATAAATCTTGTTTTAAAAGGCCAATACATACATTCTACTTAAAAAACTGGTGCCTGGCGCAATAGCCTAGCAACCAAAGTTCTCGCCTTGAACACACTGGGATCCCATATGCACACCAGTTCTAATCCTGGAGGCCCCTCTGCCCAACCAGCTCCCTGTTCGTGCCTTGGAAAAGCAGTCGAGGATGGCCCAAAGCCTTGGGACCCTGCACCCATGTGGGAGACGCAGAAGAGGCTCCTGGCTCCTGATCAGCACAGCTCCGGTCGTTGTGGTCACTTGGGGAGGGAATCAACAGATGGAAGATCTTCCTCTCTTGTCTCTCCTCCTCATTGTGTATCTGACTTCCCAATAAAAATTACAAAAATCTTAAAAAAAAAAAACTTGAAAGGATATGACCAGGAAAACCACTCCAGTGTCAGGCTGTTCTAGAAGAAGCCACGGATCCCTGTCCCTCGGATTCCTGTCCCTCAGATCCCTGTCCCTGGATCCCTATCCCTGGATCCCTGACCCTGGATCCCTGTCCCTCTTGCAGCCGAGCCAGGCCTGGGAGCCTCTGGGGGGGTTCTCCACCCACGCTCACCCGTTCAGCAGCTTCCAAAGACCTCTGGTTCCTCAGCTCTCATGCGATCTGGGAACCACAGTTCCTCCCCTTGCTCCAGCTGGGAGATCAGCTCAGGCTTTGGCACTGGGAATCCTGTGGAAGGTAAGAGCCTCGAGTGAGCTAGGACTGCAAGCTGCCCCAGCTGGACTTCCACGCCAAATGAGAAGTGCCCTATATCCATGTACCGGTATCATCAGGGGCTGAGAGCCCCTACCCTGGAGACACCCATGGGGCTACAGCAACAGAGAATGAAGTCCTCAGATGGGGGACACAGGGAGTCTCCAGGGAATGCACAAAGCCCAGGCTGGCCTCTGGGAACAAGGAGCATTCTAAGAACCACAGCAGCCCCCCAATCTGAGAGCTCCCCGCAAAGCGTCACCTAGAGAGGCCACGTTCCGTAATTTTCCAGCATCACGTGTCTGTTGTTGGGGGCCGAGCTGCTACTGCTCTGCCGGAGAGAAATACACAGCCACATCCTGGAAGGTCAGGGGCATCTCCGGGTGCACCTCCTTCGCGGCGACGCCTCTCCGGGAGCGCCTCCTCCCGGAGGTACAGCGCTGCCCAGGGCCGCTCCAAACTGCGGGGAGTGAAAGGAAGGAGAAGCAGCAAGTTTAGACCACGGGGTGCTGGTTACTGCGGCTGCAAGGCTTCGTGAGTGGATCCCGCTCAGTCAAGGCAGAGAATGTCTTGGCCCGGAGCGGCCCCTTAACTCAGTAACCCAGGGCAAGCGCCAGCCGAGCGCAGCCCTTGCCACTCAGTTCCTTGTGAAACCCCCGGCCTGGTTCCTCCTGCGCCCCGCTCCGCCCCGGGGAGCCCCTCTCCAAGGGTCCACTGCCCCGGGCGCACCTCCCGCCGTCCCGCCTGGTTCCTCCTGCGCCCCGCTGCGCCCTGGGGAGCCCCTCTCCAAGGGTCCACTGCCCCGGGCGCACCTCCCGCCGTCCCGCCTGGTTCCTCCTGCGCCCCGCTCCGCCCCGGGGAGCCCCTCTCCAAGGGTCCACTGCCCCGGGCGCACCTCCTACCGTCCGGCCTGGTTCCTCCTGCGCCCCGCTGCGCCCTGGGGAGCCCCTCTCCAAGGGTCCACTGCCCCGGGCGCACCTCCCGCCATCCCGCCTGGTTCCTCCTGCGCCCCGCTCCGCCCCGGGGAGCCCCTCTCCAAGGGTCCACTGCCCCGGGCGCACCTCCTACCGTCCGGCCTGGTTCCTCCTGCGCCCCGCTGCGCCCCGGGGAGCCCCTCTCCAAGGGTCCACTGCCCCGGGCGCACCTCCCAATCGGCCGGAGCGCGGGGGGCGGAGCAGCGGAAGGGCATCCGCGTGGCCGGCAGTGGACCTGTGGCTCCGCCCTCGCATTTCCGGGGTGCTCCCAGGCTCAAGGAAGGGCCGCGCTGGCGGGCGGAGCCACGGAGACCCCACTTTCCGTCCTTAGGCCCGCCCTCCACCCCCGGCCTTCCTGTGCACGAAGTCGCGGGTGAGCGGGAAGAGGGGGTGGACACGTCGGCCTGAGGTCCCTGGGGTGGACGCGCTGAGCCCAGGGCCTGCACCGAGAGGAGCCGTTTCCAGACCCTTGCTTCCACAGCGCATGCCGGCGCGCAGGAGCCAGGTGGTGCAGGGAACCCGTCTTTATGACTGCAGGTTTTTTCTGCACTTGCATGCCTGAGTGATAGCAGTATTGGCCCAAGGAATGGATCCTTGCCGGCTTATGGGAGAACTGAACTGGGCTCTGTTAGATTCGCTGACCGCCAGGGAAAGAAAAGTAGATAAAAAGAATCTAGATGGCCTTTATTCCACAGTCATCGGCTTCCCTTCCCCGCGCAGCAGAGAGAGGTGAAGGAGTGGGCAAAGAAGAAGAGCTAGGAAAAGCCGTGCGAGGGCTTTGTTAACAGGGCTTGCTTCGCCCTCCATTGGCGGAGCGATCATTGCACTGCCTCAGGCGAGCAGGCTGAAGGCCTCTGGGAGCAATTTCATCCTCCTCTGGTTAGCAGGGCAACTGTCAGGCTCCTTCTCCCTTGAGCCCAGCGCAGGACCAGGGCTGGAAGACAAAATCATTGGGGCACAGACCATCAGATTAGGGCTAGGTGTGTGGCTGTCTGTGCCTCATAAAAAATCATAAAATGTGAAATATTTTTGCACAAAAGTTTTAAGCCAATGTGTTTTTTTTTTTTTAAGATGCATTTTTTTTTAATTGGAAAGGCAGATATACAGAGAGAAAGGGATACAAAGAGAAAGATCCATCCACTGGTTCACTCCCCAAATGGCTGCAACAGCCGAAGCTGAACTAATCCGAAGCCAGGAGCCAGGAACCTCTTCCAGGTCTCCCACGCAGGTGCAGGAACCCAAGGCTTTGGGCTGTCCTCGACTGCTTTCCCAGGACACAAGCAGGGAGCTGGAAGGCAAGTGGGGCTGCCGGGATTAGAACTGGTGTGCATATGGGATCCCAGTGTGTGCAAGACAAGGACTTTAGTTGCTAGGCTACTTTGGCAGATGAAATATCTTTTCATAATATGCATTTTCTTTTTAAAAATCATATAAATTTTATTTTTTATAATTTACATATTTGATTAGGGTGCGAAGGGTCAAGGGCAAGAGGAAGAGAGGGTGAGACCATTGTTTTTTTTTTTTTTTAAGATTTATTTATTTATTGGAAAGTCAAATATACAAAGAGGAGGGACAGAGAGGAAGATCTTCCGTCCAATGATTCATTCCCCAAGTGAGCACAACGGCCAATGCTATGCCGATCCGAAGCCAGGAACCTCTTCCAGGTCTCCCACATGGGTGCAGGGTCCCAAGGCTTTGGGCCGTTCTCGACTGCTTTCCCAGGACACAGGCAGGGAGCTGGATGGGAAGTGGAGCTGCTGGGATTAGAACCGGCGCCCATATGGGATCCCCGGGGCATTCAAGGCGAGGACTTTAGCCGCTAGGCCACGCTGCCGGGCCTGAGACCACTGTTTTCACATTCTGTTTTTTCTTTCCTGTATCTGGGGGGAGGGGAGAGATAAGGGGAGAAGCCATACCCAGCCTCCCAACCAACCCAGGATCCCCGATATGGGCCAGGCTCTGAGGGTACTGCTCAAGTGGTTTTGGTAGCTCAACAATTCTGTATTGTTGCTGATCTTGCCACTCCAATCATGATGAAATCTCTCCAGAATTCACTGGGCTAACGTAGTCTGACATTGCCCAGGTATCCACCATCTATGCTTGGCTGGGATAGTTGATTGATCTTTTCTGTCCTCCGTCCTATGTTATGGTACCAGGTGTCCTCTGCAGGTCCAGTGTGCTGCCATGTCCTCCACGTGCACCTGGATATGCTGTCCTCTCTCCATCTACGCCACCGAGGAGGCCCAGCTCTGACATGTCCTACACAGTCAGACATGGAACTTGCAATTCTCTCTGTGGTTGGAATTCTGAGTCCAGTGGTTGGTTCAGTTGGGGGAACCCCATAGAAACTTCATCTAAGCTGATCCCAGACCTGACCCCTTTGTGCATGCAAATATGGGGTCCAGCACAGTCCATTGCCCAAATTGGCCCATGTTAGTTGCAATTACTAGTCAGTTGTCTCCAGCCCTGTCTTCTACGCAAACTAATGGGTGTTGCAGTCCAGCCTGATCTTGCCCACCACACACCCTCAGCCCCCATGCAAACCAGTGGGACCTGCAGCCTAGACAGAGCCACCCTCAATAACCCCACCATGCCCACACCTTGCCTGATTCCCATGCTTGCCAGTATGTACAGCAGACTGATCCTGTCTGTCCCACATCCCATTCAGCTCTCACACATGTCTATGGGCATTGAAACCTAGTTCAACCCAACCAGCCCCACTATCCAGACCACACACCTGCCAGTGGGTGCCATTCTATCTAGCCACACCTGCCCCAGTCCTGGATTTCATGTTCACCAGCTGGAGTGGCAACCCAGGAGAGAAGTGCCACTGTTTCTCTACTGGGCCCACTCCCACTCCCGCATCTTGCACTGTCCAGGTGGTTCTGCAGTTTAGCTCGACAGAGTTTTCTCCCTTGCCAGCCTCTGCCAGCTGATGCTGTGGCAAAGCCTAGCCAACCTTCATCCACTCTGGCTTGGCATATACCAGTAGTTACAATGTGTCCAGCTTGTCTCCAATCCAGCTTACATGCAGGCCAACAGGTGTTGTATCCTGCCCCTACCCCCAGTCCCAGCTCTCAGGCTCACCAGCGGAAATGGTGGCCCAGCAGGGGAGCTCCCTACAGCTCTCCTACTGGGTTCACCCACTCTCCCCAGGTCTCATGTGTGCTGGTTGCGCGCTGTGGCCCAGTCTGGCATGGCCCACCTCACCTCAGCATTTGCCAGTGGGTGCTGTAGCCTGACCTGGCCTGACCCACCCCCAGTTCCAGCTCACACTGGTAGGGACTGCTTCATAGCCAGCTCAGCCAGTCCTTAGTCCTGGCCCTAATGTGAACTGGCTGGTATTACAGCCTGATCTGGCATGACCCACACACCATTCTGGCTCTCAGATTTGCCAGCAGGTGACATGAACTGGTCCAGCCTGGCTCACCCCTGACCTGAGCCAAAGGTAAGTCCATAGGTACCATAACCTGGCCTGGTCTGGTTTGCTCCCTTTCTTGGCTTTGTGCTCACCTGCAGGAACTGTGTCCTGACAGAGGAGCTCCCCACGCTCCTCCATCAGGATATCTCCCAATGCCAGATATCACGCACACAAGTGGGTCCATGGGCCAGCCCTCCTTAGTCCACCTCCTGTCCTATTAGGAACAGTAGCCTTTCCTGACTGGCCCTCATCCATTCCAGTTCTTTTAAAAAATTTTTATTTACTTTTATTGCAAACTCAGATATACAGAGAGGAGGAGAGACAGAGAGGAAGATCTTCCGTCTGATGATCCACTCCTAAAGTGACCGCAATGGCCGATACTGTACTGATCTGAAGCCAGGAGCCAGGAACCTCCTCCAGGTCTCCCACATGGATGCAGGAACCCAAGGCTTTGGGCCATCTTCGACTGCTTTCCCAGGCCACAAGCAGGGAGCTGGATGGGAAGTGGGACTACCGGGATTAGAACTGTCACTCATATGGGATCCCAGTGCGTTTGAGGTGAGGACTTTAACTGCCAGGCCTTCACATCGGCCCCCATTCCAGTTCTTATTGTTGGGTGCTACAGCCCAGCCAACCTTAGCCCACAGCCAGACACAGCTCATGCATAGCTCAGCATGGGCAGAGACCTAGCCCAGCCTGTTCTACACCCACTCTGGTTCTCATGAGCACCAGTGGGTGCTAAAGTTAAGCCTACTCTGGCACATTCCAGACCCTGTCCACACCCACGCCGAGGGAGATTGCATCCATGTCCAGACCAGACCACAGCCCCCACTCCGGCCCTTGGCTCACTGGTAGGGACCACCACCCAGCCAGGGTGATCCCAGCCACAGACCTCATGCTTGCCAGTGGTTGCTCTGACCTAGCTTGGCATAGTCCACCCCAAGTCCCAACTCTGGTTGAAGGATGCTGCAACCTGGCCCTGCTGTCTGCTTTCATCCCTGGCTTATGCAAACCAGTAGGTATGGCAGCCTATCCCGGCATGACCTGCACTACCATCCTGGTTTCTGTACTTGCCAGTGGACTGTGGTTTGCTTGGCCCCACCCGGTCCGCCCCCTTCCAAAACTAGCTCATGTAGTTGCCGACGGCTGGAACTACCCTGCCCGGCCTGTCCAACATCCAGGCCTGGACCACTTGCTTACCAGCAGGGGCTGTGACCCACTAGGGGAGTCTCCCAGGTACTCTTACTTGGGACACTCCCAGACCCAGATCTCACGCATGCCAGCGGGTGCTTGACCCTTACCCGGGATGGCCTGCCCCATCCGTCCTGGGCTTTGTATGAGTTGGTATGGCCAGCCTGCCCCACACTCTATTTTAGGGTGCTCATGTGGGTGCTGCAGCTTGGACCTGCCCAGCTTGTTCTCAGCCCTAGCACTGGTGAGCACTTGTGAGTTCCATGGTCATATCTAGCTCAGCCCATCACCATCCCAACCCTCAAGCTAACCAGCAAGACAAGTAGTTCCATAGGGTTGGGCCCACATATCCCGCACAGGATCCACCTCTGGACCTGGTTCTCCTGCGTGTTGGTTGGTGTCATGGCCTGGTCTAATGTGACCCATCCCCTGATCTGACACTCACTGTCAATTACTGGTATCCAGCCCTGCCAGACGGGCCTCCAGTCATAGCTTGTGTGGTAGGTGTGTGGTGGTCAGCAGTATTCCATGCTAACTAGCCATATCCAGGACTCCCATGGTGGCTGGTCTGCTAGTTCATTCCCAACTGCAGTGGGGAGTGGAGCAGCCAGGACTTGAACCAGTGCCCATATGGCATCTTGGTGGGTGCAAGGTGAGGATTTAGCCACTAGGCTACCGTGCCAGGCCTATATAAAGAGGCGAGGAGGATGGGGATTAGAACCACTGCTCACATGGAATCACAGTGTGTGCCAGATGAGGACTTTAGCCACTAGGCTACTGTGCCAGGCCCAATAAATAAATATTTATTCAAAAAAAAAAAAAAAGCTGTGACTGCTGTGTCCTGCAGACATTTCAGGTGTTCACATGAAAACCAAGAAAAGAACCACTGTGAATCCAAACAGCTGAGCTCTGCAGTTAGGCCAAGAGCACTGCGGTTAGGCCGGGGAGCTGTGCAATGTGGTGTTTCCTGGAATAGATCACATGGATTCCCATGAAAACATTCAGTGGTGTGACCAGTTCTGATTCGCTGTAAACTCACCTCTTCTGACCCAGCGATTTCATAAACACACCTGTACACTGATGACTGCAAGCTAGAGTTAGCACAATAGCTCAACTAGCTAATCCTTCACTTCCAAACACCAGGATCCCATGTGGTCACTGGTTCATGTCCCGGCAGCTCCACTTCCCATCCAGCTCCCTGCCTGTGGCCTGGGAAAGCAGTCGAGGACAGCCTTGGGACCCTGCACCTGTGTGGGAGACCTGGAAGAGGCTCCGGGCTTTGGATCAACTGTAGCCACTTGGGGAGTGACCCAGAGGGTGGAAGATTTTTCTGTTTGTCTCTCCTCTCTATAAATCTGATCTGCCTTTCCAATAAAGTAAATCTTTTAAAGATTTATTTATTTTTATTAAGGTTTATTTGTTTTTCTTGGAAAGGTAGAAACACAGAGAAGAAAAAGAGAAAAAGATCTTCCATCTTCTGGTTCACTATCCAAATGACCCTCACAGCTAGAACTGGGCCGATCTGAAGCCAGGCGCTCCTTGCACGCCCCCTATGTGGATGTAGGGTCCCAAGGCTTTGGGCTGTCCTCCACTGCTTTCCCAGGCCAGAGACAGGGAGCTGGATAGGAAGCGGGGTCGCCAGGATTAGAACTGGCGCCCATATGGGTTCCTGGCAGTTGCAAGACAAGAACTTTGTCTGCTAGGCTACTGCGCCAGGCCCTTCACTCACTGTTTTAATTACCTGTATCAAATGTGGTCACCTTCTGAGGTTGGTGGTCAGAACTGCAATGTATGCACTTTGGGGGAACTTGCTGGGTGTCTCAGTTTGTACGGCATTATCAACATCCATTCATGGTGTTATCTGTTGCTTACGATTGCCCCATTGAACAGAGACAGTACAGCTTTTACAAGACGGCTTGAGCAGCTGAGATTTTTGTTTCGAATTTCCTTGTAACTCCAGACAACTTGCTTGATGAGATGTGGAGTCATGCTTAGTCCTTGGAATCAGCTCCTTTATTTATCTGGGACAGTGAGGTAAGGATTAGAAACTTTTACCAAAAAAATAACTTTGGCATTTTTTTTTAAAGATTTATTTTTATTTTTTTTTTATTAGAAAGGCGGATATACAGAGAGGAGAGACAGAGAGGAAGATCTTCCGTCCGATGATTCACTCCCCAAGTGAGCGCAATGGCCGATGCTATGCCAGTCCGAAGCCAGGAGCCTCTTCCGGGTCTCCCACACGGGTGCAGGGTCCCAAAGCTTTGGGTCGTCCTCGACTGCTTTCCTGGGCCACAGGCAGGGAGCTGGAAGGGAAGCGGGGCTTCTGGGATAGAACCGGCGCCCATATGGGATCCCGGGCATGCAAGGCGAGGACCTTAACCACTTGCGCCACCACGCCGGGCCCAACTTTGGCGTATTTTTAAAGCTTAGGAGGATTCATGTTTTTTTCTTTTGTTTTGTTTTTTTAAGATTTATTTATTTATTGGAAAAGCAGATGTACAGAGAGGAGGAGAGACAGAGAGGAAGATTTTCTGTCTGATGATCCACTCCCCAATTGGCCGCAACGGCCAGAGTTAAGGCAATCCACCAGGAGCTAGGAGCTTCTTCCGGGTCTCCCACACAGGTGCAGGGTCCCAAGGTTTTGGACCGTCCTGCACTACTTTCCCAGACCACAGGCAGGGAGCTGGATTCGAATTCTGGCATGTTCAAGGTCAGGACTTTAGCTAGTAGGCCACAGCGCTGGGCCCGTGATGGTGTCTTCTTTGTGGGTGCGCAGGTGAGGTGGTGTGGCATTATAGGTCAAATGCTCCTGTTTAAGAGAATTCTCTATTGGGCCCAGCCCATCTACCCTGTCCTCCCCGTCCATCCATCCACCCCATCCACCTTGTCCACCTGTCCTCCCCATCCATCCGTCCACCCCATGCATCCACCCACCCTGTCTACCCTGTCCTCCCTCCCGGTCCACCCTATCCTCCAAGTCCACCCTGTCCACCGCATCCACCCCGTTCATGCCGTCTTCTCTGTCCACCCTGTCCTCTCCGTCCTCCCCATCCATCCTGTCCTCCCTGTCCATCCTGTCCTCCCCGTCCTCCCTGTCCTCTCCGTCCATCCTGTCCTCCCCCTGTCCTCTCCGTCCTCCCTGTCTTCTCCGTCCTTCCCGTCCTCCCCCCGTCCATCCTGTCCACGCCGTCCACTCTGTCCTCATACCTAAGCGAGGCGGCCGGCCGCTGGGGGCGGAGCTTGGCGCGAGGAGCACAGAGGCGCGGGTCCTCCGCGCTCCTAGAGCGGTCCGGAAGTGCATGAACTGGTTCGGCTTCCGGCGGCCGCCGCGCCCCGCGCTCCAAGGCCGAGCTTCCGTGTCACGTGCGGGAGATTCGAGCGGCTGAGGGGGAGTCGTTTCAGGTGCGGGAGGTTGGGGGCTGCGGGAGGTCGGGGGTTGCAGGGCCTGGGGTCTGCGGGAGGCCGGGGCTGCGGGAGGCCAGGGCTGCGGGGGCCGAGCTGCGCTCTGTGGCTGCGTTGTGCCCCCACCCACCCGCGTGCATCCTGACTCTGCTTTCCTCCCGCAGGCAGCCGCCGACCGCGGGGGAGATGTCCGCCCTGGGGGCTGCGGCCCCCTACCTGCACCCTGCCGGCCCGGTCAGCTTCCTGGGGCCGCAGCTGCCCCCCGAGGTAGCGGCCCTGGCCCGCCTGCTGGGCGACGTGGACAGGAGCACCTTCCGGAAACTCCTCAAGCTGGTGGTCAGCGGCCTGCACGGGGAGGACTGCCGCGAGGCCGTGCAGCATCTGGGCGCCGGGCTGCCGGAGGAGCGCCTGGGGGCCCTGCTGGCCGGCACGCACACGCTGCTGCGCCGGGCCCTGCGGCTGCCGCCCAGTAGCCTCAAGGCCGAGCCCTTCAGGGAGCAGCTGCAGGAGCTCGGCCTTCCCCAGGACCTGGCCGGGGATGTGGCCAGCGCCGTGTTCGGGAGCCAGCGGCCGCTCCTAGACGTGGTGGCCCGGCGGCAAGGTGCCGGGTTGCCCCGCCTGCAGGACTTCCGCTGGCGGGTGGACGTGGCCATCTCCACCAGCGCTCTGGCACGCTCGCTGCAGCCCAGCGTGCTGGTGCAGCTGAGGCTATCCGATGGGGCCACGCACCGGTTCGAGGTCCCCGTGGCCAAGTTCCAGGAGCTGCGGTACAGCGTGGCCCTGGTCCTGAAGGAGATGGCGGCGCTGGAGAAGAAATGCGAGCTCAAGTTGCAGGACTAAGCCTGGCCTGGTCAGTGAGAGCCGGCGCCTGCATGGAGACGGGCTCGCTGTTCGGACGGCTGGGTGCAGCAGGTGCCCATTGTTAGAAGTAAGGGCTTCCCAAGCTGCACCCCGGGGCGGTCAGCTCAAGGCCATTCCGGGCCAGGGCCCTTTGGACGACGTCCTGTCCTGGCCCATTTGCTTCGTGAATCTTCCAGCAATGTCTGGATTTGCATTCTGTCTTGGATCCTAGTCTGCATGGCGCTGACACCAGTGGGTTAATGGGAAGAGAATGCACAATAAAAGCAAAACTCCAAAACAGCTTTTGTAGCTTGTTGAGTAAAGGCAGGACGCAGGTGTCAGGCGACCTTCTAGAGGGAGGGAGAGGACAGGTGGCTGGGGAGTGACCAGTGGGAAGCAGGGCTGGGAGAGGAACAGGGAGAGCCTAGAGGCCTCTAGGAGGGCCTTGGCTCACACAGAATCAGAGGAGGAGGGACGTGGCCTGCTTGGGCCCCGGGAGAGCCAGCATTGGGCCTGTGGTGGCCGCCTTGCTGCTCTGTGCTCTGGTAGACTCCTCACAGAACTTGTTGGCCAGCAGACGGCTCACGAGTGTCAGGGTCAGCAGACCGGAACTGCTGGAACTTCCTCTTTAAAGACTTATTTTTTTCATTGGAAAGGCAGACCAGATTTTACAGAGGAGAAAGTTCATTCTCCAAGTGGCTGTAATGGCCAGAGCTGAGCCCACTAGGAGCCAGGGGTTCTTTCTGGGACTCCCACGCAGGTACAGGGTCCCAAGAATCTGGGCTATCCTTGGCTGCTTTCCCAGGCCACAAGCAGGGAGCTGGATGGGAAGTGGAGCAGCTGGGACATGAACTGGCACCCGCATGGGATACCTGCGCATGCAAGGCAAGGATTGAGACACTGAGCCACTGCACTGGGCCTCTGCTAAAGCTTCAGAAAGAAGCCAGTGAGCGTCCAGCTGCAGCTGCCCCCACCTGTCCCTCAGTGTAGGCCCTTACCTCTCACCAGGCAGAGAGGAGGCTGCCCTTCAGGGTAGGAGCTGCCCAGCAAGGCCACTGAGGACTGGGCCAGGAGTTCAGAGCCCAAGCAGGGGCTGGTATCCTGCCCACAGGGTGGAGTCCTTTAGCCCTGGTACTCTTCCTGTGCCCCTGGACAGTCCTGCAGAGAGGATGGAGCTGTCCGGTGCCCACCCAGCAGCCTTCTGCCTCAGCTATGGGACATGCTTAAGCGCTGTGCACTTGATGTGTCTGGAAAGGACCTAAAAGCAAAGCACTTGTTTTCTGATTTACCAGAAGATCTATTTCTGCAAGAAAAAAAGGTCATCACTTGTCAGTTGCTGTTTCCTGCTTGAAATTAAACATTTCAGGACTCTTGAGGTTGCCACAATGGCTAATTTTTTTTTCTTTTTTAAAGATTTATTTATCTTATTGGAAAGGCAGATGTACAGAGAGGAGGAGAGAGAGAGGAAGATTCCCCGTCCAATGATTCACTCCCCAAGTGACCACAACAGCTGGTGCTGCGCCGATCCAAAGCCAGGAGCTAGGTCTCCCACATGGGTGCAGGGTCCCAAGGCTTTGGGCTGTCCTCCACTGCTTTCCCAGGCCAGAAACAGGGAGCTGGATGGGAAGTGGAGCTGCTGGGATTAGAACCGGCGCCCATATGGGATCCCGGAACATTCAAGGTGAGGATCTTAACCATTACGCTATGGTGCTGGGGCCCAAAACTTAAAATTCTTTTAAAAATTTTTCTTATTGGAAATTCAGATTTACACGGAGGAGAAACAAAGATCTTCCTTCTGAGTGGAGGTGAAGACCAGCTAAGCACAGGACTGGCTGAGATCCTCTGCCACAGTCCTGACAGCTGAGTGGGGGGCTAGACAAGGGGTGGGACTGACAACTCTGAGTGGGGGGCTGGACAAGGGACAGGACAGCTGAGTGGGGGCTAGACAAGTGGCAGGACTGACAGCTGGGAAGGTGCCCTGATTTCACAGGGATGCCAACTGCTATAGGCTTTTTTGGGGGGGGGATAATATGTCCCATGTTTTTTAATTTATGCAAAAGTTTTTAAAAATATACTTTAAGAAAGCCTCCAGGCATTAGGACCTGTCTTTGGCTTCCACCTTCACCCCTTCCTCTTGCACTCCCCTCTCGCCAGCCCCCACCCTGCACTGGAGCTTGAGCACACTTGGATGCAGGGACAGCTCTGAAGCCACTGTTCACAGGAAACGCACAAGGCAGTACCCCTGCTTTGCTCCAGGAGGAGAGAGGACAAAGGAATTGATGGCTAAAAAGTGTCCCCCACAGAAAGTCAACAGGGAAATAAACAAAAAAATAGGGAGGGAAGAAAAATAAGACTCGAAGCCTTCAATAGGAGGGCAACAGATGGAGATGAGCATTTACCAGGGAAAGGATAGGCCCACCCTTCCTGCTGCCACTCCGGTGGGCAGGCCAGTTGCCCCCTCTTTGCAGGGACACAAGGTGACAATGGCACCTGGGGAAGCTGGCAGACAATCTCACCCGCCCTTGGTCTGGGGGGAAATGTGACGCTCACACTCCCACAGGCAGGATGGTGCGGGTTCTCTGTCCCTAGCCCGGAGAGCACCCGGGTACAGCTGAAGGATCCCAGTTCCCACACGCAGGCTGTGTAGACTCAGGCACACCCACCCAGAATCCCAGGGCTCTGCCTGCAGAGGTTGACCAGCTAATGCTGTTCACACACTTGCTCGTGGGGGAGGGATCGCAGAACTGCTCTCCATTAGGGTGGGCTTTCCTGGCTCAGGTCCTGGTGACCACTTTTCCCCTGCACTGCTCACAGCTGGACAGCAGGTACAGGGTGAGGGACCCCAGCCTGCAGAGCAGCTGACCCACCTTGGGAGCAGGAGGCCTTCAAGAGGGTTCAGCTCAGTTAAGAAAGCACTGGAGGATGGACAAGCGGGGTATTTATTCTCTGCCAGGTGCAGTGTGATGCACTCCTATATATTACCCTGAAACTGCATGTTTCCAGGTAAGCAATTAGGCCGCGATTCCTAGGTGTGACCCCAAAGACTCCAGGGCTATTTCCCTGGCTCCAGCAGCAGTGGGTGCACATTCTCCCCAGCCTGCTGCACCCCTGGGATGCTCCAATGGGTTAGGTGATAGGTACCCCCCTCCAGACGCTCTCCAGCCCTGGAGATGTGTTTCCCACTGTGGAAGCAGCCCGAGACTGGGCTTGCAGGGAAAAACGTCCTAGGAACTGTGGTCACTTGCTCAGTGGCAGGGCCTTCTCCTGCCTCCCCATCAACTGAAAGGACCTGGGGTCTCCTCTGTAAAGTCAGAACTACAGATGGCACCATGTCAGGACATGGCCTTTATTCAGTGGGTCAAACATTTTGGCAAATAAACACAGCCCAATTCTGAACTGTTCCAACATTTTAATTGTCAGGACAAATAATCCCATATAAAACAGCATGACAGTATAGTAGTCAAGGTCCTTGCCTTGAACACACCGAGATCCCATATGGGTGCCGGTTCTAATCCCGGCAGCTCCACTTCCCATCCAGCTCCCTGTTTCTGGCCTGGGAAAGCAGTCGAGGATGGCCCAAAGCCTTGGGACTCTGCACCTGCATGGGAGACCCGGAAAGAAGTTCCTGGCTCCTGGCTTTGGATTGGTTCAGCTCCAGTCGTTGCGGCTGTTTGGGGAGTAAATCGTTGGACGGATGATCTTCCTCTCTCCTTCTTTATACATCTGACTTTCCAATAAAATAAAATTTAAAAATTAATTGTTGGGCCCAGCGCGATAGGGTAGTGGCTAGTCTTCACCTTGCACATACCAGGATCCCATATGGACACCAGTTCTAATCTCGGTGGCTCTATCTCCCATCCAACTCCCTGCTTGTGGTCTGGGAAAGGAGTCGAGGACAGCTCAAACCTTTGGGATCCTATACCTGCATGGGAGACCGAAGACGCTCCGGGTCCTAGCTTCAGATCGACTTAGCTCTGGCTGTTGTGGCCACTTGGGGAATGAATCAGCAGATGTAAGATCTTTCTGTCTCTCCTCCTTTCTGTATAACTTTCCAATAATAACAACAAAAAAAAAATCTTAAAAGAAAAACCCGAAAAAAAAAAATAATAAAATAAAATAAAATGTTGACTGCATCCCATGAAAAAAAAAAAAGAAAGAAAAACCCGAGCAGGTTAAGGCTATGGATTTATTCACATTTACACAGGTCACTGGTCTATCACATGTGAATTTTTTGATGCTGAGTAAGCCTTGAGCTCCGGTTAAAAGCTTTGCCACAGTCACTACATTTATACGGCTTCTCCCCTGTGTGAATTCTCTGATGTATAATGAGGTGTGAGCGCCACCGGAATATCTTTCCACAGTCCGCACACTGATGCAGTTTCTTTACCGTGCTGACTTTTTTGCGGCTCATGAAGGTGGAACCCTCCAGGGTGCTCCCGTACTCACAGGACCACTGGGCTCGCGTATGGATTCTCTGGTGCTCAATGAGGTAAGAGCTCCGGCTGAAGGCCTTCCCACACTCACTGCATTCGTAGGGCTTCACTCCTGCATGAATGATCTGGTGTTGGAACAGGGTCGAGTTCTGACTGAAGGCCTTCCCACACTCGCTGCATTTGTAGGGTCTCTCCCCAGTGTGGACCCTCTGGTGTATGGTGAGCTGTGTGCTCATGCTGAAGGCTTTCCCACACTGGAGGCATTCATAGGGCTTCTCTCCTTTATGGATCCTCTGATGGTAAATGAGGCTGGAGCTCTGACTGAAAGCTTTGCCACAGTCATTACACACGTACGGCTTCTCCCCAGTGTGGATTCGCTGGTGCTGAATAAGGTGTGAGCCCTGGACAAAGCCTTTTCCACATACGTCACACTTAAACGGCTTCTCTCCGGTGTGAGTTCTCTGGTGGCGAATAAGCCGAGAGCTACAGCCAAACGCCTTTGTACACTTGTTGCATTTGTAAGGTTTCTCTCCAGTGTGGACCAACTGATGCTGACTGAGCCGAGAGACCCATCTGAAAGCTTTCCCACACTCGCCACATTTAAACGGCTTCTCCACAGAGGGAATTCTCGGGGGTGGACCTGAGTTTGGTCCATCAGAGGTCCTTGTGATTTGAGATTTCTCCCCAGCATGCATCCTCTGATGTTGAACCAGAGTAGAGCTCTGGCTGAAGGCCTTCCCGCACTCCTTGCACTGGTAGGGCCGCTCTCCTGTGTGCGTCCTCTGGTGTCTGACCAGCTGTGATTGCTGACTGAAGGCCTTCCCGCACTCCTTGCACTGGAAGGGCCTCTCTCCCGTGTGGGTCCTCTGGTGGTGGATGAGGCTTGAGCTCTGACCAAAGGCTTTTCCACATTCCTCACACCTGTAGGGCTTCTCACCCGTATGAATTCTTTGATGCTGAATAAGTTTTGAGCTCAGTCGGAATGCTTTTCCACACTCAATGCATTTAAACGGCTTCTCTCCAGTGTGGATTCTCTGGTGCTGAGTAAGCTGTGAACACAGCCTGAAGCCTTTGCCACACTCCTCACATGCATACGGCTTCTCACCGTGGCCGTCACTGTGAAGTGTGCCCGGCAGGCAGGCCTTCCGGCACTCCTGGCATCTGCCAGGCCTCCTGCGAAGGTGCATGGCCCAGGGTAGAGCAGCAGCCACGGTGCGCCGGAATCCCCCGCCACAGGTGTCACAGCTCTGCCATGGGCGCTCTGCCTCTGTGTTCTCACTGCAGCCAGGCTGACCCCGCTGGGCGGCGTCTGTGCTGAGGGGCTTGGGAGCCTCAGACCCTTTGCTCAAACAGCTTTTCTGGATGAGCGGGCTCCTCACTCCCAGCCCAAAGCTGCACGGATGGCTCTCTGACCAGACCTCAGTGTCTTTACAACCAAGACCTCGAGGAAAACCCTGTGGTTCTGCTGTGACCATCGTTGTGTGAGCTTCTGGTTTTAGAGAGACTGGGTCCCCAACGGCCTCTCCGTAGTCAGTCCTGCTCCCAGAATCTGAAAGGAACAGAAAATTCTAATGTTCCTCAGGTCCTAAGCTCAGAGTAACAGCCCACGACAGACTGCAGTGAGCACCATGACAGCCCGTGTGGGACACCTGTGACACTTCTCAGAGCCTAGAAAGCTGAGTTCACACATTCATGTGCCAACACTGAAGCACATGCTGTGGACTAGGCAGGGTGCCGAGAGCCACAGAGAGCTCCATCGTCCAGGGCCTGGGGAGGCAAAACAGACCAGACAGAGCAGCAGAGGGTGGGCCAGGACAAGGGAGTGAGCAGAGGCAGGAGTGAATGAGAGCAAGGACAGGAACGAGTGGGGGCAGGAGGAGAATGAGTGAGGGCAGGAGTGAGAGCAGGGGCAGGAGTGAGTGAGGGCAGGAGTGAGTGGGGGAAAAAGGGGTATGGGTGAGGGTAGAAGGGGTGTGAGTGAGAGAACGGGGCAAGAGTGAGTGAGGGGAGGAGTTGAGTAAGGGCTGAGTGAGTGACGGCAGGAGTTGAATAAGGGCTGAGTGAGGGCAGGAGTAAATGAGGGCAGGAGTTGAGTAAGGGCTGAGTGAGTGAGGGCAGAGATGACAAGGGGCTTATGGGGTAGCACAGGAGCTGCGTGCCCAGGCCAGTCCTAGGACCTTTGACCTTCAACTTCTGCCTCCTCAAGTCTCTGAGCCCCTCCTACCCACACAGACCCTGCTGGTTCCTGAACTTCAGTCTCTACACCCACTGACCCACATTTCCTGAGTAGTCCCCTCGCTCCCCAGGTCTTTCTGACTTTTGCTTCCTTTTGGAATCTCTAAACAATCCCAGGCTCTCTTCTGCTCTCAGACACCAAGAAGAGACTTACCCTTGCTAACCCTGTTTGGACCACAGTCATGCATACCTGACTGGATTCCATCCCACAGCCTGAGCTCAAGCTTCGCTTTCATGCTCAATGCTGGTGACCAACAGAGCAGCAGGAAGCAGCCTCCAAGGTGGACAAATGAGAATCGTTCCTCCATTACCCTTCTCCCATGGCCCCCATCCTAACCCTACACCTGCTACAGTGACTGAGCACCCCTGCCCTAACCCTACACACTGGAGTCGGGGGCTGCAGCTTGGCCATGAGAGGAAAGCAGCCGCTCAGGGCTGCCCCAGTGAGGGTCTCTCTACCCAGTGTGCCACAGGGATGCGCCAAGTCAGAGACACTAAGTCCCCAGGCCTGGTCCTTGCCCACACACTCATGACCACAGTGCACCTCTGCCAACAGGGCTTGCCCAGCCTCTCGAGGAAGCAGGACATGCAACCATGCAGCATGCCCTGCTCCCTGCTGCCCCTGCGGTAGACCCCTAAGAGAGCCAGACAGCACACAGCTGAAACAGATATTGCCCATGGAACAGGCCTGTGTGGTTCAGAACACACAAAGCAAGCAATGAGAATGTCACAAAGCACCCAGCTGTGACTGAGTTCCCAACTCCAGCCTCCCTACCTCTGGTGTGTGAAAAGCAACCTGAGGCCCAGATGGAGTTCTAGGCTCCTGGATTGTGCCTGGCTCAGCAGCAGCTGTCATAGCCTCTCTGGAGAATGAATCAATCTAACTCCAAACAAGGGGCAAGCAATTCTGTGTCTGGACAAGCCACATGGGCACTGGTGTGACTCCTGGCTGCTCCATGTCCAGTCCAGCTTCTGGCTAACGCACCTGGGAAAGCAACAGATAGCGTCCAAAGTGCTGCAGAAGGCGCGCAGAAAGCTCCGGGCTCCGGACTCCAGACTGACCCAGCTCCTGGCTCTGACTTGGCCTGGCTCCTGCTTTTTTTTTTTTAAAAAAAAGATTATTTTTATTAGAAAGGCAGATATACAGAGAGGAGACACAGAGAGGAAGAACTTCCATCCGATGATTCACTCCCCAAGTGACCACAACGATCAGAGCTGAGCTGATCCAAAGCCAGGAGCCTGGAGCTCTTCCAAGTTTCCTACACAGGTGCAGGGTCCCAAGGCTTTGGGCCGTCCTCGGCTGCTTTCCCAGGCCACAAGCAGGGAGCTGGATGGGAAGTGGGGCCGCCAGGATTAGAATTGGTGCCCATATGGGATTCCGGCCGTTCAAGGCGGCGACTTTAGCCACTAGGCCCTATTTAATTAATTTATTTACAAAGATTTATTTACTTTATTAAAAAAATCAGATTTTTAGAGAGAAGGAGAGACAGAGAGAAAGATCTTCCATCCATTGGTTCCCTCCCCAAGCGGCCACAATGGCCGGAGCTGAGTTGATCTGAAGCTAGAAGCCAGGAGCCTCTTCCTGGTCTATCACACGGATATAGGATCCGAAATCTTTGGACCGTTCTCTACTGCTTTCCCAGACCACAGGCAGGAAGCTGGAAGGGAGATGCAGCAGCTGGGATACAAACTGGCACCCACAAGGCAAGGACTTTAGTTGCTAGGCTACTGCACTGTGTCCATGGGGCTGCATCTTAACTGACACTCCCCCATCCAGCCCCCAGTAGCTTTTTTCCCACACAAGGGTCAGGAAGAATGCAAACTGGAAGGCCATGTAGGGAGGGTAAGTGTAGTGAATCCATGGAGGCTAGGGGTACGCCAAGAGCTCTTGACCACCCTCCTTACACCACAACGCACCCAGTAGGTCTGCATGATGTTTTAAACAAACTGTTCCCCCAAACTCATGCAAGAGTGGGAGCTCCAAGGACTGATGGTGGGAGCCACCATAAGGAAGACCTTAGGTCGCTGGGCCTGCTCAGGAATGATGGGCAGGCCTTGTGCCGCCCTGGAGCACGTCACCACCGTGACACCACCCACTGTGTGGTCCTTGTCAGAGGCCAAGCAAGTGGAGCCTGTAACCTTGGATTTACATGTCCCAGCCCAACAACCCTTTCCTCCCTAAAGTACCTGGTCGCTGGGGACTCGCGAGAACAATGCACGCGCACTGAAAAGGTCGTACCAGGCACCTGCTCATGGCAGGAGGATGTGTCCCGGGAGCAGCAGTCCTGCAGGTCCCACCAGCACTGCCATAGTGCTGTGAGGACACAAGGTGGAAGTGGGTAACCTTTACTCCTGGTACGGAGATACACGAACACCTGTGCTTCCCAGATGGGGCTACACAGCCAACAGCAGCTGAGAAGGAAACAGACCACATGGGCCGACATTGGACAAGCAGGGGTGGATGGGCCTAAAGAAGCACCTACTCTAACCCTACACACACTACAGTGAGTGAGCACCCTGACTACACACTACAGTGAGTGAGCACCCTGACCCTAATTCTTCACATGTTAATATCCAACTTATATTGAATCAGCTTGTTGCCCAGGCCCCCAGTTGACAAGGCCATAGGCTGACTCCTAGTTGTACACTGACAGAAGAGGGCTGCTGGGAACATGGGTAGTGACAGCACCCCAAGTCAGTCTGATGATTTCTGGAAACACAAGACAGTTTAAGTGGCATGAAAGGGTTCCTTCCACAAGCCTTCATGGAGAGCCCCTCCCTTGTACCCGACGGCTGCGTCTGTGCTCCACGGCCAGGAGACAGCAGGTGTCTCCTGCCCAAGCCACCTGGCTTGTGGCTAGGCTAGAATCCCCTCACAGGCAAGGGACACGTCTACCTGCTGAGAGCCAAGTTCAACGCTTCATCTACAACTTCAGGTTTGTTTGTTTAAGAAAGCATCAGTTTCACCAGAAGTGGAAGATGTAGAGTGAGTAATGTGTGCGTGCTTTACTGCCGTTGGTCTCTCCTCAGGCAGCCCCATCCCCACAGTGCCGTGGCACCTCCTGTCTGCAGGCAGCACAGGTGGCACCCGGCTTGGCCCTGGGGACACGACCAGCCTCCTTCTCAACCAAGGGCCCACAGCTCACCTGTCTTTGGGCTCCTTGGTGCCTCTGGCCTCTCCTCTCCCTTCAGGTCAAGCACCCATGGCTCCTGTCCCCGTTCCAGTCGGGAGATCAGCTCAGGCTTGAAGACCAGGAATCCTGCTGTGTGTGGCAGAGAGCGATGCTAGGAGCGCAGCTCAGAGACGGGGCAGGCCTCAGCCCCTTGGTCTCCAGGGGCAGGGGTCAGAGGGCTGGGCTCAGGCAGACGCTGCAGGCAGTGGGCAGACAGGATGCTCCCAGCACACTGCAGCCCTTCTGTGCAGTCTGGACTCCCACAACCTCCAGGGGTTATAATCAGTAAATTTCTGCATAAACAGGCCAGCTACATTCCAGCACTTCACTCAGCAGAACAGAGACATTCAAGAGGTAGGGGTGGTGAATAAAAAAAAGAAACAACAGAAACGGGCAAAGACGACTCTGAGTCAGTGTCCTTCCAATCCGGAATCCCTGTCCACAGAACCCCTTCCTCAACGTGTGCAAGGTGGGAGGACTGTGCACACCCACCTGGCCGTCTACCTTCACTGCCTGTCAGGAATGTCGGCCTGGCTCTGGGGAGGCTCCCGTGGATCTGCAGTCTCCACGCTCAAGCCCCTGGGTGCAGGCAGGACCACTCAAAAGCACAGCACATGAGGGCAGAGAAACATCTGTGTCCAACTGTGACGGGGTCACAGCAGTGCAAAGACCACCAACATAGGACCCAAACACACCTGGTGTGAAACTGACCACTTAGGGTCAGTGCTTCAGGGTGGCCCTCTAATCTTCCCCATGTGTGCTGGTTTGATTCCCGGCTGCTCCATTTCCCATCCAGCCTCTGTTTATGTTGCGGGAGAGCAGTGTAGCTCATGCACTTTCCTTGCACCCATGTGGGAGACCCAGAAAGGATCCTGGCTCTGGATCACCCAGCTGCAGTCACTGCAGGCACATGGGGGATGAACCAGTGGGCAGATCTCTGTCAATCTGCCTTGCAAGTAGAAAGAAAGAAATCTAAAAAAAAGAAAGAAAGGGAGGGAAGGAAGGAAGGAAGGAAGGAAGGAAGGAAGGAAGGAAGGAAGGAAGGAAGGAAAGAAGGAAATTACACAAAGGTATCTTGGAAAAGGAATGCTTACTGTGGGGCAGCTGCGTTTATCATGGGGCAAACTCCATAGAATGCAACAGAAGTAATATGTGAAGGTAACACCTTATATTCTTGAATAGATTTACTAGAAACAGACCATAAAACATCAACAAGGTTAACTATTCAACTCAAAAGCTGTTAACAAAACAATAGAACCCAAATAAAAGGAACAAGACAATAAATTGTGAGGACTCAACAAAATATAATAGACATATTATATGTCTATATGTAGACATATATAGTCATATATAATAGACATACAATAACAATACCATCCCTCCACTACAAAAAAAAAAAAGAATTAGCAAAGTTGGGCTTAGCAAAATCCTTAGCAAAGGATTAACCAGTTTGTAGAGGCCTGGCGTGGCAGCCTGGCAGCTAAAGTCCTTGTCTTGCATGCACTGGGATCCCATACGGGTGCTGGTTCTAATACTGGCAGTCCTACTTCCCATCCAGCTCCTTGCTTGTGGCCTGGGAAAGCAGTTGAGGACAGCCCAAAGCCTTGGGACCTGCACCCATGTGGGAGACCTAGAAGAGGCTCCTGGCTTCAGATTGGCTCAGCTCTAGCTGTTGTGGCCGCCTAGGGAATGAATCGGGATGGAGGATTTCCACCCCCCACCCACCTCCTCTCTGTATATCTGACTTTCCAATAAAAGTAAATCTTTAAAAAAATGTTGTATGGATTTGTGGCAAAAACCAATCAAGGTTAACTCAGTGATCTTGTCTCCCTGAATCCTTCAGAACTGGAGAGAGACAGCAGAAGCTGCCCAGCTTGCTTCAGCTTGCTTCATGAACCCTGCAGGCCAATGCCACTTGCCAAAAATGTCAAAATTATACAAGGAAAATTTAAAAAAAGAAAACAAAACTCTAAGTCATTTTTGCTAATGAATAGGGATACAAAAATCCAAAATGAAATATTGACCAACTGAGTCCAAATTTACTTTGTAAATACCATGGTTAAGGCAGGTTTTATTCTGGGAATAGGAAAAAACTCATCAATTGTAATTTCACTATCCCAGTTTTAAGAACTGTGTGATTCTGTGGACCAGTTCCCCACAGGATTGATACAGCTGGGAGATTGGTACAGCTGCACCATGCCCGATCCAGTGTCTTAGTAACGCATCTGCAGGCACAGTGGAAGACGGCTCACAGGCTAGGGAGGCACTCATGTAGGAGATCAGGAAAGGCTCCTGGCTCCTAGCTCCAGCCTGGCCCAGTCCTGACCACTGTGGTCATTGGGGAGTGAACCAGAGAATGGAAGACCTCTCCCTCTCTCACTTTGTCCTCTCCTCTGTCTCTGTCTCTCTCTCTCTGACACCCAAATTACTAAAATAAATTAAGAGCGCAATAAGCCTCAGGGGCCCAGCTGACCATCACACTGGCCTTGGCCAAGGTGGCTGGGAGGGCACCAAGCTCTCAGTCACTGAACCTCCTAATGCAGATACAGCCAGTGAAGAGGCCCAGCTGACCATCACACTGGCCAAGGTGGGCTCCACCAGCCCTCGGAAGCCGGCAGCAATGTTGTACAATGACAGCAACCAGCTAACCCTCTACCAACAAGAGCCAGAGTTTCCATCTGCACGGGAGATCACTACTTCAAGGGGCGGATCAAGACCCACCCTCCACATAACCACAAATTTAGTGCCTCTTAGAGTCCCACTGGGACTTCAGGGGTACCCAGTGGAGCTGGCCCAGCAGAGCTGACCCAGAGGACTGGCTATGAGGGGCGGACAACTGTATCAATGAGCAGTGGGCAAGGAAAAAATTTCAAATATAAGTTCAAATGCCCAACTCAAAAGGTAAACCTTAGACATCTCAGTATTGTTAAAATCTGACCAGAGCACAGGGAAAGCTATTTACAAAACCCTACACAGCATGACCACATCTGGAGGCTCCCAGCCACACACATCCTGACACACTTCCCCATCTGACCCTACACAGCATGACCACATCTGGAGGATCCAGCCACACACGTCCTGACACACTTCCCCATCTGACCCAGACATGGACACAGCATGAACTTGTGTCATTAGCAAGTACCATGGCCTGTGTGCAGACACACTCCACTACTGCACAAATGAACTCAGCTGCAGGCAGTCCCAACTACCTGTTACAAGAGCTACACAACCTGAACACACATGTACAAGGTTACATGAGCTGCCACATCCTATACATGTGGACTCAGCCTGACATACTCAGGTCTTTATTCTGCAGCTGCCATCAGCTCCTCCCACGAAACATTCTACGCTGTTCTTTGTCTCAATCATATTGTCCTAAAAGCTGGCACTGAAGCAAGGAGCTGCTATAGGAGCAGAACTATGAAAAATGCTGCAGCTGAGGTTGAAGAAGCAGTCGCAGGTGGCAGGGATGCAGCAGCCCATGTGTCACACACGCACTCACTCCCTCCCAAGGCTGAACCCCACAGAGCACTTCTCAGGAGACTGCAGCGGTGACGTCTGCAGAGGCAGAATGGGAGTCCATTGAGGCAGGACAAGCAGGGCAAGGGCACAGCATCTGCGCAACCCTTAGAGACCTTCGCGGTCACTCCTTGCTCCTCTAGTTGACAATCATTTCATGTTTGGATTATATTCCCAATAGCCTCGGGATTTATAAAAAAAAAAAAAAAAGGCTTTTTTATTAGCTCTGGAACTCTGCCTACCCCTGGAGCTCAATGCTGGCACATACAAAGCTTGGAGCCTGTCTGCCCTCATAGGCCCAAGGCCCACTCAGCCTCTACACCCACAACCACTGTCAGGGGCCTGTCCAGGCAAGTCCCAAGGGGAAGCCTCACCTAGTCCAGCCACACTGCTGTGGTTCTCCAGCATCACCTCCCTGTACAGGGCCCTCTGGCCAGGGTCTAGACACTGCCACTCCTCACGGGAGAAGTGCACAGCCACGTCGCCAAACGTCACCGCCTCCTGCAATGACACAATCCATGCCATGGGATCCCTGAGGGCCGGTTCCCTTGGCACTACTTCAGGGTCCCTGGGTGCCAGCCACCTTTGGGCACCACCTCAGGGCAGGCCCTAAACATCTACAAAGACAGCGACAGGTTCTTCAGGCTGTAGAATCCCGAGGCAGCTACTGTCTGGGAGAAAGGGGCCCCAGCTATGGTAGCATTACGCCCTCCCCTTAACACCCCAGGTGATTCTGGTCTGTGCGGTCCACCTTCCACCCAGGGAAAGAAGCAAAGGGTGCGGGGCCGAGCCTGGCAAGGGCCATGGGGAGTCAGCATCCCTACCATGAGCGGGGTGGGTGGATATCCACATGTCCTGTACAACCTGTGGAAGAGGAGGAGAGGGTCAGAGGCTGGGGTGCCAAGGTCCTGACTTTCAGGCTCCTTCCGTGGCACAATGACAGGGTTCTGAGCCAGACAGGAGAGTGTGCCAAGCAGCCACCACTCCGTGGAATAATCTGACCCCACGTGATGGAAGCACCACTCACTCCATCACCATGGAGCGGCTGTGCCAGGCCAGCCCCTTGGCAACAAGGGTGCAACAAAAGGCCAAACCATGCCTTCACTCCTAGTGGGGGAAGGTGCTGACACACGCAGGTGCACCTGGAGGGGAAACGTGCTGACACACGCAGGTGCACCTGGGGGGGAGGTGCTGGCACACGCAGGTGCACCTGGAGGGAGAGGCGCTGACACACGCAGGTGCACCTGGGGGGAGGTGCTGACACACGCAGGTGCACCTGGAGGGGAACATGCTGACACACACGCAGGTGCACCTGGAGGGGAAATGTGCTGACACACACACAGGTGCACCTGAAGGGGGAACATGCTGACACACACGCAGGTGCACCTGGAGGGGAAACGTACTGACAGTCATGCACAAGGACGCTGAAGCACAGAGCACGAATGCATCGAGCTTCACTTAGGTCACTTTCTCGGGAACTAGGCCAGCATGTGCAGCGCTGCAGATGGGCTCAGACGACAGGGTGGTCAGAGGAGGGACACGAGCGGGCTCGGGTCACAGTTCCCTGTCCCCCAGGTGCTCCCGGGAGGCGGGCGCGCTGCGTGCGGAAGCCCCAGGTCGCCAGCACGGAACGTGGCACGAGCCTCGCGCTGCAGAAGGCTGCACCGGGAGCACCTCGCCCGCCCGGCTCTCCGCGGCCCCTCAGCAGGGCGAAGGACGCAGCGTCGACTCACCCGGCCAGAGCGGCAGCCCGCAGACAGCCCGCGCCGCCGGAAACCAGCCTCGCACACGCCCGCCCCGCCGACTTCCGGCCCTTCTGGGCCGCTCGGAGGCCCGCACGGCTCGGCGGCTTCCGGTTCCGTCTCCAGGATTCCCAGTAAGAGGCGTGGCTGATCACAGGAAGGGCGGGGCTCGGCCCACGGGAGGGACGGGGCCTGGATGGGGCGGAGCTTCCAGGGTGCCGGGCAGTGGCGCCCGCAGGTCCGGGTGAGGGTTCGAGTCCCGGTCAGGGTCTGTGCCGTCCGCCCTGGTCCCGTGCACCGTGTGGGATGCAGGAGCAGCGCGGTGGCGACAGGCCCGGCCCCCCTGTCCCCATTAACCGGGGAACAGCGTCCTTCAGCGCCCTGGCCCGCCGGGAGTGCCGCTGTCCGTGAGTCTAGTCCTGCAGGGCTGGAGTTGATTCAGCACCCCAGGCTCGCTATGCCGGCTCCCCTCACCAAGGTGCTGACCCACCGTGGACCCTGCTGCCCCAGCACCCTGTACCCACCGTGGACCGACCCCTCTGCCCCAGCGCCCTGTGCCCCCGGCTGCAGCCTGAGACCCTTCCTGCTGTCAGCCTTCGCCCTGGTTCTCTGGCCAGGGCCTTGCGGTCACTCCACTCTCCTGTCTACTGAGCACGGGCAGTGTGAGGCTCAAGATGGGCCTGCTGACATGTGGCCAAGGGCAGTAAGGCATGGGGGTAAAAGGGAACAGCAGGATTCCCAGGCACCAGCAGCGGGGGTGGGACCCAGATCCCTGGATGGGGTGGAAAAGTGGGAATGGGACCCATGCCATGCAAGGACTGCTGGATCATCCAGCCAGCCATGACCACACTGTGAGGAGAAGCCCGCCAAGTGCTAAAAAGACAATGATTTATTTTATCGAAAGACAGAATTACAAAAAGAGAGAGAAACTGGTGGTTCAGTCCTCAAATGGCTGCATTGGCCAGAGCCGGGCCCATTTGAAGCCAAGGACCAGGAGGAGCTACACTGGGGTCTCGCAGGTGCAGGCGGTGGCCAAAGCACTTGGGCCATCCTCCACTGTTTGCCCAGGCTGGCAGGGAGCTGGATCCGCGTCCGTGTGGGCTGCTGGCATCAAGGGTGCCACCCACAGTGCCAATTTGCGTCCCACCTGTCAAGCAGCACAAACCTGGCTGTGGGCGAGTCCCATGTACCGAGCACGTGGCCTAACTGTTCCCAGAAGACCCAGGGCTTCAGGTCAGCAGTGAGGCTGGAGCTGAGCGCAGCAAGAAGGGGGTCCCCTCCTGAGGCTGGAGCTGAGCTCAGGATGCACCTGAGTGCAGCAAGAAGAGGGTCCCGGGCCCGGCACGGTGGCACAAGTGGTTAAGGTCCTCACCTTGCACGCCCGGGATCCCATATGGGCTCCGGTTCTATCCCGGCTGCCCCGCTTCCCTTCCAGCTCCCTGCCTGTGGCCTGGGAAAGCAGTCGAGGACGGCCCAAAGCCTTGGGACCCTGCACCTGCGTGGGAGACCCGGAAGAGGCTCCTGGCTTCGGATTGGCATAGCATCGGCCATTGCAGTCACTTGGGGAGTGAATCACCGGACAGAAGATCTTCCTCTCTGTCTCTCCTCTCTGTATATCCGCCTTTCCAATAAAAAATTTTAAAAATAAATCTTAAAAAAAAAACCCTGCTCCTGCTAGGACAGGAGGTGAACTGAGTGGTGCTGGCCCATGGACCCACTGGTATGCGCGAAACCTGGCATCAGGAGAGGCTCTGATGGAGGAACCTGAGCAGCTCCTCTGACAGGACACAGACCCTACAAATAAGCGCAGGAAGCATGGAAGGAAACAGCCCAGAAAAAGTTACGGAAAGTGTCACACTGGCATACATTTGGCATGGGTTGGAGGCGGACCAGGCTGAGTCAGTTCAAATCATCCACTGGCAAATCCGAACGCCGGAGCAGAGTGTGGATCGGGCCAGGTTCAGGTGCCACAAAAGCAGTACACAACACAGAATGCCAAGGCTGCCTGTGCTAGATGAGACCGCAGCACCCAAACAGCACGTGTGAGAATCAGGAAGGTAGGGGCAGAGCCGACAGGGGAATAAAGAATGGTTCCCTTGCTGGATGGCTACTGCCACTGGAGAGCATGAGCTGGGATGGGGGCAGACCAGACTAGGCAGGGCTACAACACCTGTGCACCTCATGTGGACCTGGTCAGGGAAGAGCCAGGACGGGCGAACTATTCCTACTGGTGGCAACAAAATTAGAGTGTGTGAGAGCTGTTGGGGATTACCCTTAGCAGCAGCGGGCACTAGGGACTAATACTGTCAAGTCTAACCCCAGAGCCACCTGGAGAGAGCATAATCCGGGAGTGAGAGAGACCTGGAAGGGAAATAGTGGGCTCCTCCCTCTTGGGTTACCACTCCCATGGAAGGGCACAAAACAACTAGGACAGGGGCCCAGTGGCATGGCCTAGCGGCTAAAGTCCTCACCTTGAACGCCCAGGGATCCCGTATGGGTGCTGGTTCTGGTCCTGGCAGCTCCACTTCCCATCCACCTCCCTGCTTGTGGCCTGGGAAAGCAGTTGAGGACAGCCCAAAGCCTTGGGACCCTGCGCCCACGTGGGAGACCTGGAAGAGGTTCCTGGTTTCCTGGCTTTGGATCGGCGCAGAACGTGCCATTGCAGTCACTTGGGGAGTGAATCATTGGATGGAAGATCTTCCTCTCTGTCTCTCCTTCTCTCTGTATATCTGACTTTGAAATAAAAATAAAATAAATCTTAAAAAAAATACACAACTAGGACAGGGGCTGGGGTGGCTAGACAGAGAGGCACTCAACAACATCTGTGAGGGCTGGATAGCTGAGCTGGTTAGATGGAACTAAGCCCTTCGACATTTATGAGAGCCAGATGGGATATGGGGCAGACTGGACTAGTCTGCCTCACATACTGGCAAACTAGGGTAGGGGACGGGCCTGGTGGGGTTATTGTGGGTCGCTCTGACTGGGCTGTGGCTCCTGCTGGTTTATGTGAGGGCCGAGTAACACCCATTGGTTTATGTGAGGGACTGTAACACCCATTGGTTACAGTGGAAGTCGGGGCTGGAAACAGAACCAACCCAGCGGTTGCAACCACCAGCTGATCAGGGTGATGGACTGTGCTGGGCCCTGTACTTGCTAGTACTTATAAGAATCTGGTCTTGGAACACCTCAAAATTTCTTTGGGGATCCCCTCAATCGAAATGGCAGACTTAGAACATTAACCAAGAAAAGATGGAAGATGAAGCAGGTCAATCAACCACCTCAGCTATATGTTGTCAGTGAAATACTGGACAAGGGTAGACTCTGTGATGGAATATGTGAATCAGTGGATTCTTCAACAGCCTCATCATACCTGGAGTGTTGAGATTGGCAATGATTCATAACTGGTTTATCGGAACCACTTGAGCAAGGATCTCGGGGTGTGCCCTACATCTGGGACCTGGGGTGGGTGGGAGACTGGGTGGGGCTTCTCCCTCAATATTCCCTTTACCTTGGTGGTCTTACCCACTTTCCCATAGCCCTTGTACCTTTTTACCCTAATTAACAATGTAAAGATTGCCAAATATAATAATAATAATAAAAAAGATGAGGCAGAGCTTCACAGGCAATCAGACACTTGGAGTCCTTTGCAATTTGTCAGGTAGTGTACAGGGGTCTTGGATAAATCCAATAAAATATGGGAGAGGATTTTCTTTTTGTCTTACTGTCTTTGCCTTTTTTTCTGTTTAAATTAAAAAATATTTTCAAAAAAAAAGAAAAAAAAAAGAAGGGGGTCCCCTCCCAAGGCCCACTCACCCCAGTAGGTGGCATGATGGCCAGGCCAGTCTTGTCTCTGTGACACTGCTTTCTCATTTATTTGAGGGGAGGGCATCGTGGCACAGCAAGTCAGCTGTCTCCTGGTGCCCCACAGCCCACTGTAGAGTATCTGGCAGAGTCCACTGTCCCGCGAGGCTGCCAGCAGGGCCTGGCAGGAGCCTCATGGTGGTGTGCAGTCTAGGGTCAGCAGGCTGGGTGCTGGCTGCAGCAGCTACAGCCGGACAAGTCTCATTCCAGGTGTGCAGGGCCCACCAAGGGCCCCTCGGGGGCTGTGCCCAGCGAGCATCGTTCCTCAGGCCCATGTAGCTCCCTCTGCCCTGTTCTGCAGACCCAGGACCCTCTCAGCCAACCTGGAAGACAGGGTCCCTGGCTGCCTCCCCTCCCGCAGGGCCTAGGCAGAATGGAGGTGCCACGACAGGGAACCTAGGTAGAATGGGGGTGCCACGATAGGTAACCTAGGAGCAAGGTCCACGCTAAGTGGGCGGGCGGCCGTGGAGCTCTCGGTTCTGCACGGAACTGAGGTGGACGCTGCGATGCTGATGAAGGTGGGGTCCTCTCCACGCGACCCAGCGGTGAGATGTTGGGGTTTAGTATGGGAAGGCCTCGGGATTTCCTGTCAGAACCGAGCTCCTGTCTGTCGCCGACCCACCCACGGTGACGCCGGGCAGCTGCCCACACCGCGCATTGGCCTCAAGACGCTCCAGTGCGCCTGCGCAGACCCCTTCTAGGCCGGGAGGGCCGTGCAGTCCCGAGGGACTTCAAGTCCCAGCGTGCACCGCGGCCGGAAAGGCGCCGCTGTCTCATCCCCGCCCCGGAAGATAAGGCGGCTGGCCGGGGCGAGCTTCCTCTTTCTACCCGGCTTGTGAGTAGGTAGGTTGTTGGCGGCGGCCGCCGTCCCTCGGGCCCATCGGCGTGCATCCGCGTCCCGGGGCGTCCATCCTCGTCCACACTCCTCCCGGCGCCCATCCTCGTCCATCCGCGCCCACCCTCCTCCCGGGGCCCCCGGCGCTCACTCCCAGCCTCCCGCAGGCGCAGCGCCATGGGCCGAGTCATCCGCGGGCAGCGCAAGGGCGCGGGCTCCGTGTTCCGCGCGCACGTGAAGCACCGCAAGGGCGCCGCCCGCCTGCGCGCCGTGGACTTCGCCGAGCGGCACGGCTACATCAAGGGCATCGTGAAGGTGGGACGGCGGCCGGGGAGCGAGGGGAGCCGGGGGAAGGCGGCCGGGGGAGGGCAGCATGGCCAGGGAGCACAGGGGAGCGTGAGGCG